CACAGCTTGAATTGTGTAGCACTACTAACTATAAACTGATTCTTTGCATCTGTCTTTTTGCAGGACAAATGAATCCTTCAGTTTCATGAAAGAGAAAAATGTAGAATTTCATCTGTGTCTCAAAAATGTCTTCTGTTATACCAGTATTGTTTCAAAAATAATTATTGCAAGCAGCATCCGTAAGAGAAAGCCATATATTTAAGCCTAAAAGGGACATTATGCATTTAGAGCTCCAGTTTTGAAATCACACAAGTGTTTTGGCGATTAATGACGTTTATTAAGGTTGCAAGTGGTTGAAGACCAAGCTGAACGGTTTGGGTTATCAATTTTCCTTACTCTTGTTTTTATAAGCAATTAAGGGCTAAATCCTACCATTAGTCCCAAATGTGGTAGATCCATTAAGGCAGAGGGAGTTTGGTTAAGTTCATACTTGTGTAAATCTCTCCAATTCAGTGAATCTACTCTCAATAAGATTAAGAAGCAAGTTAATATACGGAAGCATCTTGAAGATTTACAAGTTACCAGAGGTACTAAAAGGACTCACAAATACAGAACTCTTCAAATCATCCTTTCTTTATTTGTGTTCCCAACCTCATTTTAACATCTAATTTTTAATACATATGCTTGAAAAGTATCTAGGTGACTTTTTTGTATTATCTATACCATATAGAGATGCATAACATAGGTATGTTTAGTGGGGACCGGGAGAAGGCCTTCTCCGTTGCTGTTCACAGACACTAGAACTCCCTCCCACGGATAACTGGTCTACCCCATCTTTGTTGTCCTTCTGCAAGCAGGCTAAGACCTTTCTCTTCAGGCAGGACTTCCCTTAGTGACTGAGAAGTGTGTTTTTTTAATGGATTGCTGTACCTTGTTGATTTTTAATGTGTTGTTTTTGTTTAGTTTCTACTGTGGTATTTGTTTGATCTCTTTAGTATCTGTATAGTGTACTTACTGTTCTAGCTTTACCTTGAAAACCCTAATAAGTTGGCACATAACAACAAATGTGTCCTACCACATGTTCTGCCTGGCTTGATAAATTATAAACAAACAAACAAATGTGCTTTAGTATTGATTTTATTTATCATTTTTAATATATTTATTTTAAAATATTTGTATACTTACTGCTTTTAGCTTTTAAATATTGTTTTTTTAAATGATGTAAGCCACCTTGGGTCCTGTCTAAGGAGAAATTTTAAAAACTAAATAAAGATAAGAGAATCCCAAAAAGGTCTGATCACAACAGAATAGTGGTATTATTCATTTTCTTGATCTGGACACTATATTTCTGTTGATACACGCTAGCACAGCATTTGCTTTTTTTGCTCATATTCAGCTTGAGATTTACTAAGACTCTGAAATCCTTTTCACATGTACTGATTCCAAGCCAACTTTCACTTCTTCTACATATGCGCATCTGATTTTTCCTGCCTAAGTGCAACACTTCATATGTTTCCCTGTTGGAACTTATTTTGTACTCTCAAGGGCTTTCACATCTGGGATCTGATGGTTGTTGCAGGTTTTTCGGCCTGTTTGGAGGTTTTTCTTCCCAACGTTTCGCCAGTCTGTGGGTGGCATCTTCAGAGGACAGGATTTAGAACTCTGCCTGTGTTCAGAATTTTAACTCCTGTCCTCTTAAGATTCCGGCCACAGAGACTGGTGAAATGCTAGGAAGAAAACCCTCCAGAACACAGCCAAACAGCCCAAAAAAACCTACGACAACCATTGGAAGCTCATTTTGTTTGTATTGGCCAAGCTCTATAATCTACTTTCATTGGAACTGATTCTGCCTTACAAAGTATTGACTACTCCTCCACGTTTGGTATTGTCAGCAAATTTAATAAGCATTCCTTCTATGCCCCCATTCAAGTCATGTACAACACCAAGTTCAGGGTAGAACCCTGTGCCACCTGACTTGTCACTCCACTTCAGAATAAGAAGGAGCAATTGGCGATTTATTTAGAAAGCAGGTCTGAGAAATAGAAATCACCCTTTTCCGTTTTATTAGGGGGTAGGGAATTACTTGACCACAGTGAACAAGATTCAGAACAAGGTCTGATCTTCCTTCTTTGCCTCTCATCCAATAATCTTGGAACTGCAGAGTTGGAAGGTCTGGGCTGTGCTTCCAACAGAAAAATTCTCTAGTTAAGATTTTCAGGAACAGCTTCAGTTAGTGCTGATAGTACTTGGCCAGACCGATCTTTTGTCTCGCTTAGTATAAGTCAGTTTCATATCTCCTATTCCTGAGGGTCCTCTGAGCAGGCAGCTAATCCAGTAAACAGACCACAAGACCACATGAATTGCTTGGCTCTCACTTTGATATTCCACAAAATTTCCATGTGCCTTGGAACAGTTGTGGAGTTTGCTACACAACCTTACCTCCCTTTTTGTAAAACCAAGACAATAACATGATCATCATAAATACTTACCCTTTCATGCAAGGACAATGAGCTAATGTTTATTTAGTACTTTTAAGCTGCAAATGTACCAATACAAGAACTGAAGTTGCTATTACTACAGCATTTTTCCAGGGCTTTGTCCAATCTAGCTTTAAATGACTCAGTTAATGAGAAGCTCACAATTTCCCTAGGGAGATCATTGTGCAGTGCAGTTGAACAAGTTGTCAAGATTTTTAGGCTATTCATCCAAAATTTGTCAACTGCTTAAATTTGTTGTTTTTATTTTTTAACTGAAGTTCATTCTGAACCATCTGGCCCATTTGGCAGTCATAGTTATGGACACATCAGTGTCCGTTGCTTACACTATGAAAGTATGCAATGTGACCAGCCCAATGGATCAGGTAGCTAACAACATGAATGGCTGCAGGTAGTTATTAATGAGAGCTATGCCTGAGTTATGTTGAATCATTAGGCACAGGTACAAGACATACTATATTTAGTTAACATGATGGCCAGAATCCAACTGGCAATTTACATTTGCATTAATGAAATCATGTAATTCACTGTGGCAAACTGCTACTAATTAACAAGGTGCTAGTTGCATTACAGGTGGTAATTTGCTGCTACAATGTACAGAAGTGTAAATTACCAACCTTTTTTTAAAAAAATACTTGCATACATAATGTTTTTAGCTTTAATATTGTCTTTGAATGAGGTAAGCTGCCTCTTTATACTCACTGTCTTTAAATGTTGTCTTTTAATGATGTAAGCTTCCTTGGGTCCTTTTCAAGGAGAAAGGTGGGGTAAAATATTTTAAATAAATAAAATAAATAAATTGGATTCTGGTAAATACTTTGACTAGCCAATAGTAGAACTGCAGAGTTGTAAGGTATTTGTTACTCCTTTGGACACCACTACAGAATTTTAGACTTTCCAAAATCATCAGATATTTTGACCTCAAAATACTGTAGTTTACTTGCTTTATATCTAGCTAGATACCCTAACTTACATATAAACAAATCTTAAGGTAAATTAAATATTCAGCTTATCTCAACAACTTAGATAGCAATTGAAAATACATAACAGAAGAACAGAAGAAGGGAAGACTGGAAGCAAACTATGATAAAAGGAATGACTGGATGAGTGGTAGGTATGTTGAGGGAGAAAACCAGGTAGGTAGGTATGTTGAGGTAGAAACCTTCACACTACAATCAGGAGAACTACTGAAGAAATACAGTCCAGAGTAAGGAGATTTGCCAGGGACAACTACTAAAACAGCAACGAAGTGTCAGGCTTATCAGTTGCTAACAGATGCATACAAAAACGTAAGATAGTTTAGAATGAAAAACCTAGGGCAGGGATCAGGGAACTTTTTTACTCTTTACCCCCCCCCCCAAATTTATATAAACCGATATTACCCCTTTGATTCGAAAGGAAGGAAATGATACAGTATTTGAATTCAAAACTTTACTAAATTTATTTATTTATTTGATTTATACCCTGCTCATCTGGTCTACAAGACTACTCTAGGCGGCTATTCAAAATTATAGTTCATAGTTTTGATTCAGTCTCTCTCTCTCTCTCTCTCTCTCACACACACACACACACAAATCAACCCACCCTCCCTCCATTTTCTCCATACATTTAAATAAGCTTGATGAAGCCCTACAACTGGATCCTTTCCCTCCTCCTGCTTGCTTGCAGTCATCTCCCGCAGAAGCAGTCATTCACAAGCTCTGGATTGATTGATTGCCCAGGGCTATTCCACAGCTGTAACCAATCAAGCAGGCTTATCTCCGATCTCTGAAAGAATGGATTTACAAGTGCCCTGCTGCAACCAAGGAAGTATCAGGGAAAGGTGGCTTACAATTTGAGGTTTGGCTGCAGGGGGTGGGGGTGAGTGGGAGGGAGGGGGTAGCGCTCTTCTGATTACCCCCAGGATTTTCACTTTTACCCCATTTGGGATAATTTACGCTGTTCCTCGACCACTGACCTAGGGATATCTCAGATCAGGACAATATGTTTCTTTATCTAAAAGTAATCTTCTTTGGCTGGGGGTCCAATTACATTTTCGAAAATGTATTGGTTGGAAGAATTGCATCAAAGAATATTGAAGGAACTTGCTTAAGAGACTTCTGAACCACTGTGTTATTTTATTGCAATCATGGAGGATGGGTGAAGTGCCATAGGATTGGAGGGGGCTAATGTTGTCCCTGTCTTCGAAAAGGAGGAATCTGGGAAGTACAGATCAGTCAGCCTGATATCAATCACAGATAAACTTGTGGAGCAGGTCATAAAGTAGTCACTCTGCAAGCACCTTGAAAACAATGCAGTAATAACTACGGTAGAAGCAAACATATATTTGTCAAGAACAAATCCTGCCAGACTAATCTTCTCAAACTGGGAGGAGGTAACAAGTGGTTCTGTCCTTGGCCTGCTGGGAGGAGGTAACAAGTGGTTCTGTCCTGGGTCTGGTGCCCTTCATTTTTATTAATGACTTGGATGGTGGAAGTTGTAGAAGGGATAGCTGTGTTAGTCTGTGCAAACATTATAGGTAAAAAGAAAATAAAAATAAAAAGCAAAAAAAGACAAAAAATGGTGGCACTTTCAAGATTAACTTTTATATTTTTAAATGTGAACGTCTGTGGACAAGTCCACTTCATCAGATGAGACAGAAAAAGTAGCAAGCATACACAGCCTGGCAATCCTACAAAATGGTAATGTTTTTGTCAGTAATTTTCTCCAAAGGATGCTGAAATTAAGCACCATAATCTTTATTGAATATGATTACATTAACAGAATACAATCCTTTTTAACAGTTACAGAACTGAGATGTTATTTATAAAAGTAGATGTTCAAAACTAATATATCTGCCGAATGTTTTTATTGTGGACATCAGGTATAAAATAAGCAGCTTCAACCTCCACATCAAATTCAGTTTCTTCAGGAGCTATCATGGATTTCCCCTTCTTCTTCAGATGAGCTTTCCTTAATTAAATCTTCACTGCATGCATTGGTTTCTAAAGAGAAGAAAAAAATGTACAGTTTTTGACAAAATATGACGACTCTGATTTGCTGCTTCCATAGGTCTGTCTATTCACAAGAGGCAATTACTAGCAAAATACTGATAGAAAATACAAAAAAACTATGTGGGCTTTCCTATGAATTGTTAATTCGCAAGTGAAGGTGTGTAGCTACAGATAACATGGAAGAAGTCCCTTTTCTCTCAAAAGCCTGTTATACCATCGGAAAACATCAGGTTCAAAGAAAGATTCCACTGTAGCATGTCAGAAAAGAAATAATGAAGGAGGCAAAATTTAGATACACATAGAAATCAAGATGCCAACTGTGAAGACATAGACTCAATTTTGCATCCTTCAAGGAAGGAAACCAGCAAGAAAAAGTCTAGTTTATGAGATAGAATTTAGGAACAGGTTGGAAGGATCTCCAGCCTCCAAGTAAAAAGCAGAAAGAAAAAAGAAATCTGTATGAATATAAAAAACTAATGACAAATAAGCCAGATTGTTCTGCTCTGGCTCCCAACTCTCACCCCTTGTGAAAGGACATGTTGAATAACAGAGATCTGAGGGTGAGCATATCAGTGAGCTTCCTGTGATTGACTCTCTCAAAAAACCCAATGTGCCCCAATTCACACACCTTTCTGATCACCCTTGTGGTAAGGGGTGGATTAAAAATATCAGTAAGTCCTGTATGTTATCCTGATAGGAAGATGCTTACTTGATCTGTTCTCCTCCCCTCTGTCAGCTTACACAAAGAGTTCAACATTCAGTCTGCTAAACAATGGGCCATTTGGTGCTCATTCTGTCACGTTCTGGCTTTAGTGAGGGTCCTCTTTACATGTGCTACTGAAACCATCAGGACCTTACAGTGGGGTCTTAAGAACGGCTTGAGTTAAGAACATTTTGACTTAAGAACCACTCTCATAGGAAAATATTGACTTGACTTAAGTACTTAGATTTGAGTTAAAAACTGAAAAAAACCCACGTGGGAGGCAGGGAAAGTGCAAAAAGTGAACTTTCAGTTAACTGTTGGCCAGTGAAAAGGGTGCCTGTCTGCTTCCTCCCTCCTCCCAGCGTTTAGAGAGTGGATTGGGAGACAGTCTTCGGACTGCCTGGTACTGTCCTGCCTGGACTGTATTTTCCCTGCCTGCCCTGAACCTTTCTTGACCTAAGAAAAAAAGAAACAAAATATCCCCCTCTAGTGGTCGAAGGCGGAATAGCAGCTTCCCATTAGTTTCTATGGATGGAAAAGAGCAGATACGGATCAAAAGGTTTTCAATGCATTCCTAGGGGAAATGCAGATTTGACCTGAGAACTTTTTGACTTGAGAACCGCCTTCCAATACGGATTAAGTTCTCAAGTCAAGACCCCACTGTATTAGACTGCTGTGGAAGAAATGGAAGCCAAAAGCAAGGAACCAAGGAGAAGAGCACAGAACTGGAACTGACACTGTGTAACTGAACCAGCTACAGGAGGACGACTAATTCAATGAGTTGCTTCTGAAAGCTACTAGTGCTTGGAATTGCTGTTGTCTATGGGACCAGGAAAAACTGTCCTATGGAGTTTTGAAAATTTTTGGGAAATTCAACAATTGCTGGCAGAATCTCTACAAAAACCTGTGCGGCGTTTGCCCCTTTGTGCCCCTTGCCTGACTTTCCAAACACAGAGCACACAAAGGCAAACTAATACTCCTTTTTACCCGCTGCCACCAGTTGATCACTAAATCAACATTAATTATGGAAGGATGAAGATGCAGGTCCAAACTTCACTGTCTTTTAAATAAAACTTGTTTATTGATTACAGAGGTTATTATTAATCACAGGTAACTTCTATTATCATCAATCACAATCTTCTATTTGTTATTACAGTCATTATTCACTTTTTACTCTAATCACCTCAGCTCTCCCAAATACCACACTCTATCTCCCTCTCTACTTTCTCACTCTCACTCTCTGACTCCGCCACTTTATTACATATCTCTCAGCTCCGCCTCTCAGCAATATTAGCCTGAAACATGAATATTCATAGCTACTTAACATAATAAGGGTGCCAGTCCGTGGCCATGGCAGGACCAAGTCGTGGAGACAGATCTCCCATCCCCACATTCCCCCTTGCACCCCACCCACACAGCCCGACACCCACATGCACGGGTGCCCTGCCCACCTGCGAGCACACCCCTCTGTGTATGCATGCCCCTGCCCTCCATGAGCGCCCCCCACCCCTGTGCATGAGCGTGAATGTGCCCCTCCCATCTGTGAGCACCTCCCCTCAGCAAGTGCACCCCACCCCTCTGTGCATGCACGCCCCCCTCTGTGCATGCATCCCCCGCTCCCCATGCACAGACCCTGCCCCACCCAACTAGTCCGTGGTTCAGAAAAGGTTGGGGCCCACTGCCCTAAAGAATACTTTGGTCAGATTGCAGGCAAAGGCAGCCTTTGTAAATACAGATGGTATGTGGAAACCCTTGAGACTAAGGATACAACTTCTCTCAGCTTTTCCAATTGTTCTCAGGAATTGTTTTGCATCACTCTCAAGTTGTTCTGCAACAGTTTTTTTCAACTGAGCCCTGCATAAAAATGCCTACCTGAAAGGAAGATCAACACAAGAGGCTCTCTTCCTTTGAACTTCACATCTGAACAATGCTTCCCTGATCATGGAGAAGAGAACTTCCCTGAGCTATCTGTTCTCTCCTTCAATGGCCACAATTGGGGACATAAATGAAATATATAAAATCCTACATTGTCAGACAATAAGTCAATGGTTTCGGTATCTGGCTGTAGAGCTAGAGGCTGGGAGTTCTATTCTCCACGGTGCCTCCTTGACAAGGGCTGAATTCGATGATCCAGAGGGTACCTTTCAGCTCTGCAGTTCCAAGATTATTATTATTATTAAAGCTGTGTTTGATACTTTGCTAGACTTCTGATTTACACAAAGGGGTGCTGAAATTGTTTTAAGCTGGAATTTCTTCGACAAAATAGAGATGTGATAATATCCACGATGATTTTGTATACATCGGTGTTTCAACACAACGAGAGCCAAGAAAGATATGGACTCAAGCTGTCCAGCATTTTGAGACCCAGTGTGATTGTGCAGGATGTCATACTATGGAGAATCCATCCTTGTCCTTCTGATATCTTCCAAGCTCATCGTAGTTCCCCTACCATAGCACTGCCATCTCCTCCTTTGATGAAGTCTTTCTGCCTATTGCAAAGAAAATATATATAATGCTTCTTGGGAGTGTTTCCACTACCTGAAATTTCTCAACATGGATGTGCCTTTTTGCACATAGGATGTCAGGGTTCCTTGTGAGAGAAATATTATAAGTAGGACTTAATGGGAAATCATTTTTACATTGTCTAAATAACTGCCATGCAGAAGGGCAGTAGTGGGAATATTAGGCCCTAATGTGCACCTGTATAGCCTCAATGGAATCTGGACAAGAAAATTAAAGCATTTTACCCAGAAATGTCACATTTTACCCAGAAATGTCACATTTTCTCTACATTAAATCTAGTGTATAATCAATTAACATCTATATGTCATGCATTGAGTACTGATATAGAAACTATTGTTTTTGTCACCAAGTCTTGTAATAACTTCAATAATCTTTTCACAACTCTAGTTGCAATTATGCCTGTAGACAGAATGATGAACACCTGGATTTTCTTTAAAAAAACTGATCATTATGACTTCATAGAACAGAATAAACTAATTTGAAATGGCATTTAATGAATGTTTAGATTATTTTTTTATTGGTAAAAATGGAAAATAAAATAGACTTTTATTGTAGAATACTGGCAGCTTTTTAAATGACACAATTTATTTTATTTTTGGCGCTGCGGATTAAACCTCAGTAGCCTCTGTGCTGCAAGGTCAGAAGACCTGCAGTTGTAAGATCAAATCCACGCGTCGGAGTGAGCCCCCGTTGCTTGTCCCAGCTCTCGCCAACCTAGCGGTTCCAAAGCATGCAAAATGCGAGTAAATAGGTACCACCACGCTGGGACGGTAACGGCCTTCCATGTCTAGTCAGCCACGCTGGCCACGTACCACGCAAGATTGTCTTCGGACAAACGCTAGCTCTATGAGTTGGAAACAAAGATGAGCACTGCCCCCTAGAGTCGGACACGACTGGACAAATTGTCAAGGGGAACCTTTACCTATGAATTAAATCTGTTTAAATATATTGCTCTTAGATGCAGAAGTAAATAACAACTAGACTAGACTATCAATCTAGAATTTTGGTTAACACTTTTGGAGTATCTATTTAATTTTTTTCACAGTGACCAGAACAGAAAGAATGTGTAGTTTCCACAGCTTCATGAATCTCTTGAAAGTTCTTGAGCCTCATAAAAAAAACCCAACAATCGAGAACATTCAGTTTTTTTTTTTTTTTTAGAAAAGCCTAGTTATGAACTCAGCTCCTATTCATGACACTGTGGACATTTTTATGCAATGAGAGAACATTCTATGCAATCAATTATGTCAACTCAAGCTTGCCTGAGATATAGAGTTAACATTATTTTGAAACAGTTTGCTAACTTTTTTGACTGTTTAGTTGCTTATTCTTATTAAAATATACATGTACTGATACATCTGTTTGATGGATTGTTTATGCATATGCAGTACCTATATGACAGAATATCACAGGCAAGAAAAAAGTGGAAATGATATTTAATAGTCAATAACCAAGAATATACAAATGCAGGAGAGGTCATGCCTTTATTAGACCGCTTAAAAAATTGAAAAAGATAAAACCATACACAAGCTTCCATGGTTCAGTCCACTTCACAAGGCCATGTACCACAGATAAAGTGGAGTGAACCACAAAAGGCAGCATATTGTTTGATTTTTTTTAGTGATCTAATAAAAGCTAATAAAGGCATCACCTCTCCTGCACTGTGTAAGGACTACATGGTTCTCTTTGGGTCCCCCTCCCGCCCTAAATATTCAGAAGTACATGCAATACTACTGTCACACTCTATTGGAAGGATTCTTTGACC